GGGGGGTGTGAGAGGCTCTTCCTCCAGCCCTGCTCCTGCCCAGGGGCTTCGTGGGAAGTGCCCGAGGCAGGAACGGGGCAAAGGAGGAACATCTGGAGCTGGAAATGCATTTTAGGTGGGATAAAAGCCACGGGAGGGGAGCTGAGGGCACAGCAGGAGTCACCCTGGCAGGGCTGGAGCTGCTGGAAGGGGCTGGAGAGGAGACACAGGCACCCCTGACTTACCCAAAGCTGCCAGAGAACTTACCCAAAACTGCCAGAGAACTCACCCAAAACTGCCAGAGAACTTACCCAAAACTGCCTCCAGCCCTGGGAACAGCCCAGGGAGCACCTGGAGCTGCTGGAGCCACTCCAGAGGGAGGGAGCAGAGGGATGGAGCAGAGGATGGAGCAGAGGATGGAGCAGAGGATGGAGCAGAGGGAGGGAACAGAGGGATGGAGCGGGTCTGCTGGGAGGAAAGGCTGGGAAAATTGGGATTGTTCAGCTTTGGTCTGACCTGACTGTGGCCTTCCAGGACCCAAAGGGGCTACAGGAAAAATAAAGAGGCTGTTTCCAAGGGCCTGGAGTGCCAGGACAAGGGGAAATGGCTTCACACTGACAGAGGGGAGGCTTAGATGGGACACTGGGAAGGAATTGTTCCCTGGGAGGGTGGTTGAACCCTGGCACAGGTTGTCCACAGAAGCTGTGGCTGCCCCTGGATCCCTGGAAGTGCCCAAGGCCAGGCTGGAGCCACCTGGGATAGTGGGAGGTGTCCCTGCCCATGGCAGGGGGTGGCACTGGTTGATCTTTGAGGTCCCTTCCGACCCAACCCATTCCATGATTCCATGATTCCATTCCAACCCTCTCTCAGGGCCCATCTCCCCTTCCCTGCACAGCCCCAGGGGCAGCTCTGGGTGGGAGGCAGGTCTGGTTCACACCCTGACCGTGGGACCCTCCACCCCATCCCACTGTACCCGAACCCACTGAACCCTTTCTGGGGCCATTTCCCCCCTTTCTGCGCATTCCCAACATTTCTTTGCCTGTTGTTGCTGTGATTTCCCTGCTATCAACCCCCCTCCTGGAAACAAAGTGATTTTGGAGGCTCCTCTGGGCAAGAAGCACTTACTGCAATTGTTCTGAGGAAATGCTTTTGGATGGTTTTGCAAACACCCACTAATATTTGATACATGCAAAGTGTTGTGGCTCTCTGATGTTTAATGACAGGCTGCTGGGATTAAAACTGCCCGGGATTGAATCATAGCGTCGCTGGAACAGAAATATGTCAGGGCCACCCACGTGATCCCTGAGTCAGAGGGTGAGGAACACCTTGGGAATGGGGAGCCCCTTGGATCCGGGGATTACAGGCCGGCCTGGGGTTTGTTATCCTGATGATATTATTGAGATCAGGCTGCCCAAGCGTTCACCCCTCCAAGCCAGGCCACGTTTGGGGATTTAAATGGGATTTAAATGGGATTGTGCTTCTCTCACCTGAGGGGGGTTGAGCTCCCAGTGTGCCATGAGTTGCTGCTTCATCACAGCAGGTCAACTTGGGCCAAAGTTGGGGCTGTAACTCTCAGTCCTCTGTGTCTGAAGGTGTCCTGAGAAACCCTCAATGAATCAGCTGTTCCTCTTTTCCCTGTTTTTCCGTGTGTTAAGCAGGGAATGGGCAGCGCTGGTGGCTTTGCTCTGAGTTTCCCACACTCTTCCTCACACTCATCCTTGTGTTCCTGGTGCAGCAGTGACCAAAACCACTGAGCTGGGCTGGGGATGGGGTGATTTGTCCCATACCAGGATCCCTCTGCCCAGCCCACTTTTACCAAAATGAGTTTTCTCCTCTCGTGTCCCTTCCTGGGAATGACCAGAATGACCAGAACGAGGCAGAGGAGGAGGCTCCTGGTGCTGAGCTGGGGCTGCAGCTGCCACAGCAATCCTGGTGCTGTTTTATATCCCAGAATCCCAGAATTGCTGTGGAGGGACCTCAGGGCAGGGTCACCCAGAGCAGGGGACACAGGGACACGTCCGGGTGGGTTTGGGATGTCTCCAGGGAGGGACATTCCAACCCTTTCCCAGGCAGCTCTCCCACCCTCCACGGACAGAAGTTCTTCCTCACCTTGAGGTGGAACTGGTTGAGTTTTATTTTATGGCCCTAAACCCGGGACCTGCCGTGTTTTGGAGCCTCAAATGAGGAGCCAGGGCTGTCTCTGGGAGGCAATTTGGACACTCCAGTCATGCAGTGACTCCAGGCCCTGTAAACACGTCCTAACAAGCTCTGGACCAGCACACTCAGGACTAATGTCAGGTTTGGCTCCTCTGCATTCTTGGAGGCCAGGAAAACAAAGTGCTGTTTTTAAGGGCTGGCAGGGACAGCCCTGGGAGCTCTGAGTGGCTCAGACTGGGCTTCACTAAGCCAGGATCTCACTAAGCTGGGCTTTAACCAGCTCCTTCCAGCCCGGCAGAGCTGCAGGACGGGGTTTGAGGCTCAAAACTGGGGAAAAAAGAGGAATCCAGGGACGGGACACCGCGAGTCACGTGCCGGCCGGGACGGGGGTAATCAACACAAACAGCCAGCAAAGCCAACCAATTACTGTAATTAACCTCCAAATGGGGTTTGGGGAGTAATGGAGCCTAATGCCCAAATATGACGTTATTTTCTTGCATCAGCCCGGTGGTCCAGGCGGGTATATAAAACCATTCCTGCCTCAGAAACCTTCCAGCACGTTCTCTTGGCTTCTCCTCGCTGAACTGAGTAAGTTGGATTCTGATATCGTTTATTTTTTTCCCCTAAAATAAAATAGAATTTAAAAAATTACGATTTTGGAAACGTTCACGTTTAAATTCAGGGCTGAGTTTCGGGTTCGTGTTCTGTGATTCTGGGCAATGTTCAGGAGCTCATTTTCCTGAAAGAGCCACTTGCTAATTATTCATTCAGATTGGGGTGTAAAACTGTATTTGAATTCTAGATGATATCAAAAACATCTATTTCCATTGCTTTATGGAAATTTAATGCAGATGGCCTTTAAATAGCCTTAAAATATCTCAGCCAGCAACATCCACCTGGTGGGGTGGTTCTGACCTTGTAGCTCCTGATCTTTATCTGATTTTGGGCAGAGATGTTGTGTAAATATTGGCACAGGCTGTTTAGAAATGCTGGGACAGTTGCAGTCACCTTTGGGATCAGAGCTGTAAATTCCTTGGGAAGCTGCTTTGGGTGGTTTTATTCTGTTTATGCAAAGCAGTGGTGATATGAAAACACTGCCCAGGCTGTGCAGGAATGTATTATCCACTGGGAATTTTGTGTTTTGTGTTTGGGTTTCACTTCTCCTTTTCCCCTGGTTTGGTCTTGGCTGAGGGTCAAGAACACAGAATTAATTGTTGCAGGAGGTTTAAAGGGTGGAACCTGAAGAGAGTGGCTGGATTAGGGTTTAAGGTCAGGAGAAGTTTGAGGGAATGATGGATATTTTGACATTGTGTCTAGAAAAAGAAAACAGAAATTGCTTGAGTCAGGCTCAGCCCCACCCAGGCTTTTCCAATATGCAGCAGTTAGACAACAAATAATCACCTCGGCTGAAACCAAAATATTCCATTTAATCTCAAACAACAGATTAAGAGGCTCCTTCATGTGGTGCTTTGAGCTGGAATTTGGTTACATTTAAATGGCAACTTGAAATGCAGTTTTATTTTATTTTCCAAATCACCTCCCCACCCTTCGACTTATTTCAAAAGACTGAAAAAGGTGCAGAATTCAGCCCGGGTTTGTGAATGGTTTTATTCCCTCTGAAATTTAAATTCAGGGACTTGCTGTCGTGTTGTTTCAGCTTTTTCCTTGTGAACCTGCAAAAGTTTATTTGTTTAATTTTCCGACCGAGCTCGGTACTGAATCTTTGTGTTAAAGTCACCTGTTCCAAAGTGACTGCACCAAACCCAGAGTTATTTATACCCTTCTGGGATCCATTCCCTCACAGGGAGGATATTCTGGTTTTTGTTTCCTTGACCCAGACTGGGCAAATTCAACCCAGGTAAAACATCTCCTGCTTTCTGTTCCTCAACCCTTGGTGCTGTGTGGTCCCAATTTCAGTGACCTCCCCCTCCAAATCCCAGAGGAGAGGGCAGATGTCACCCCAATTTCACTGATATCCACCTCCAAACCCCAGAGGAGAGGGCAGATATGGCCCCAATTTCAGTGACCTGCCCCTCCAAATCCTGGAGGAGAGGACACATGTCACCCCAATTTCAGTGACTTCCCCTTCCAAATCCCAGAGGAGAGGGCAGATATGACCCCAATTTCAGTGACCTCCCCCTCCAAACCCCAGAGGAGAGCACAGATGTGACCCCAGCAGCCCCCCAGAGGTGCTTTGGTGCCCGCAGGGAGGATTCGGGCTCGGGGAGGTCGCGGAGAAGAGCAGAGTAAAGCAGAGCAGGGTGGTTCCCCCCTTCTGGTGTCGATCCCGTCCTTCCAGCTCCTTTGCTTCCCGGTGTGTGTGTTCCTTCCCTTGCAGGTCGGCAGCCCCAGGATGTCCTGTGAGAAATCCGTGTGCGTGGAGCCGTGTCCCTGCCCCTGCCCCGGGCAGTGCCCGGACCCGCGGGCGGCCGCCTGCACCGAGCCCTGTGTCATCGCCTGCCCCGACTCGCGGGTCATCATCTTCCCCCCGCCCGTGGTGGTGACCTTCCCGGGGCCCATCCTCACCACCTACCCCCAGGACACCGTGGTGGGCTCCTCGGAGTCGGCCGAGCTGGCGGGAGCGCTGGAGTCGGGCGTGGCCGTCGGGGGGGGGTCGCAGAAGGGGCTGGAGTGCCTCGAGTCCTGCTGTGCCCCCAAGTTTGGCACCAAGTGTGAGCCCCTGTGCGCCCCTCAGTGCGCCCCGTGCCCTCCTCCGTGTGCTCCGTGTGCTCCCTGTGCTCCGTGTGCTCCATGTCCTCCTCCGTGTGTTCCGTGTGCTCCATGTCCTCCTCCGTGTGCTCCGTGTGCTCCATGTGCTCCGTGTGCTCCACCGTGCACCACCAAGTGTGCCCAGCCTTGTGCCACCCCCTGTGCCACCCCCTGTGCCACCAAGTGCGCCCCACCTTGTGCTCAGCCTTGTGCCACCCCGTGTGCCACCAAGTGCGCTCCGCCGTGTCCCACCCCCTGTGCCACCAAGTGTCCTCCGCCTTGTGCCACCCCCTGTGCCACCAAGTGTGCCCCGCCGTGTGCCACCACCTGTGCCACCCCCTGTGCCACCAAGTGCGTGACCAAGTGCGTCCCCACCTGCACCACCCCCTGCGCTCCCCAGTGCGCGACCAAGTGCGTCCCCGAGCGCTCCTACACCTACTCCACCCGCTGGAAGCACCCCTGCCAGAGGGGCATCTGCAAGAAGGTCAAGGCTTAAAGGGCGACAAAGTCACGGCGAGGAAACAAGGAAAGAAGCGAAGGAACACGGAATGTGACCGACAGGACACGACAGGACACGACAGGACACCCACAGGACACCGGAGAGGGAAGCGACGCTGGAAACCAGGACCCCGCGTTCGACTCCCCGTAGTGCTTTAGCTTAGATTTCTTTTATTCTCCTGGCTTTGCAACCTTGTGTCTGTGCTTTTAACTTCCTCTCTCCCCGGTCCTGACGCCGGGCGCGGTTTTGGGAAGGAAGGGGTTTGGTTTGAAGTGGCAGGGATTTGGTCTGGAGTGGCAGGGATTCGGAGGGGACTCAGCAAGTGTGAGGGAAGGGAACGTGGCGAGGAGACGGGTCACGCTGGAGGAACCGGGGAGTTGGGTTTAGCTTTTCTTGGCTCTGGAGAAACTGCTCCTTCTAGTCTGCATTATTCTCTCTGCAAATGTTCACTTCCACTTTGCATTCACATTAAAATGCTCCTGCATCAAACCATTGGCCTTCTGGATCTCCTTTTGCCTCTGCTCCTGGGTTGTATCGCTCTCAGGGTCACACTCAGCCTTGTTTAGACCAACAGGGGAGACTCTTCCTCCAGACACTCAACACCTGATGCCCAGGTAAAGTTGAGGAGCTGGTTCTGCTCTCTGCCAAAGGGGGATGTCAGTCATGTGGGCCAGGAAAGCAGTGAAAGGTCTGATTCCCAGAGGAACCTGGTCCTGCCTTTTCTGGGTTAAACCCTCCAAATCACAGCAAAATGTCTGGTTTTAGAGTGTCCTGTTCTCGCTCACAACCAGCCCTGTTTGGAGACTTTCTTCTCTAGGAACAAGCTGCTCTTGTTTCTGCATCCCAACTTTTCTGAACTGCTTTTGCTCAGGACTCTTTCCCACCTCTCAGTGGTGACAGTCAGGGCTGGACCTGGAGCTCCAGTTCTTTGCTTGGTCACAGCCCCAGTTCCAGCATCTCCCAGCTGGTGCCAGCACTGGAGCCCTTTGGGCTGTTCAGGACACCAGGCGTGTTCCTGCTCCTGCCAAGCAGTTCCAGGTGGTGTTTTTATACCCAAGGTTGTGTTAATTCCATTCTTCCCTAATGGCTCCGCACACGTGTTTGCTCCCTGGGTGCCTCTGGAATTCCGTGTCATTCCTGCAATTACACCCACCCAGAAACATCCCAAGGCTTCCTCAGAACAAAGGGAGCCAGGATGCTTCCCAGACACTCACTGATGTGTTCCACCTGGAACGTGGGATGTTAATTTAATGCTAATAGTATATTATTGGGGTTACACTCCCCAAGACTCTGTAATAACTGATGAAGAAAAAGGTCATTATTTCACACACGTTTATTTCTATATCTTCTAGAGATATTTATTATTTTTTTTAGTAAAGTGATGATTTTCACTATAAAGTTGCTCTTCTTTTGTTTTATGATGCCTTTCAAGCCCATGATTGAGACATAAAGCTGTTTCTAATCAGCTTGAGTTTAAAAGAGGGGCTCACAAAAGACATTTGGACCCCTCAGCCCAGTCATTCCAGAATTTCACTCTCCAGGTGATCACATTTAATAACAGGATGGGGTTTTTTTAATATTAAGAATAAAATAAAATCTTTATTCCTCTATTGAGAACCCTGCCAAGTTACCAGGCTGGGACGTTGCTCTGCTGGCCCAGTTCTGTGCTGGGGCTGCTCCCTCCTGTGGAATCAGCTCAGGCTGACTCAGACCCGGCCTGGCAGGGACTGCAAAACCTGCCTGGGAGTCTGGGTCCTGCTCCAGGCTGGTCTAGGGCTCCAGGCTGGTCTGGATCCATGCTCCAGGCTGGTCTAGGTTCATGCTCCAGGCTAATCTAGGTCTGTGTTCCAGGCTGATCTAGATCCATGCTCCAGGCTGGTCTGGATCCATGCTCCAGGCTGGTTTGGATCCATGCTCCAGGCTGGTCTAGATCCATGCTCCAGGCAAGCCCAAGCACATTCTCCCAGCCTGGGTCCCCATGAACCAGCCCTGGAGTGACCTGGGTTGGTGTTTGGAGCCCTCCCTGCCAACCACAGCCCCTGGTGCAACCACAACCTCTGCAGAGTCTTCCCCAGCTCCTGATCCCAGAGATCAGCCCCTGGATCAGCCCCAGCCCGTCCCTCCCCTTCACCTCTGTCTCTGTTTACAACCCAAGGCAGCTCCAGTCACTTCCCCAGCCCTTCTCTTTGGCATCACTTTTGGCCATCGCTGATATTTTCTGGAAAGTGGGTGGTTATCGTGTCCCTTTCCACAGAAAAGGTAATTGCTGCCCTAAAGAGGATTGATTTGCTGCCAGGGGGAAGCCTGGGTTGGACTCAGCTTCGGTGACTTTTGAAATATCTGACACAAATTCTGGTATTTCCTAAACACCACAGAGAAGTCCTGAGGTCTGGCTGCCCTGAGATAAATCCAATAACACAGTTCTGGCCTGGCAGCAAGAAAAAAAAAAGCAGAGAAGGAAAGAAAAAGAGATTATTGGGAGGAGAATTGATTCATATTTACAACTGAGGGACACTCAGGGAGTGACAAACTTAAAGAGCTTATTAAATATAAAATCTTCGGGAAGTCTGGGCCCTGGGGATCTGTTTGGGGCTCCACATGAGCTCAGTGCAGAAGTGACCTTCCTGTCACTCCTCTTCAGGGTCACCTGGCCCTGAGCAAAGCAGGGGGACCTGTTCCTATGGTTTTTCTTTAGAGCAGCCACAGCTTGATCCAAAAAATGAATACCATGAGTGCATTAAAAAGATTGACAAGTGTAAATATTTATTCCACTCTGAGCAAGCAGCATTTTCCAAGCAGTTCAGGAATGTTCCAGCACTCCCAGGGCCCCGTCCCTCAGCAAGATTTAATCTCTGCCCATGAATCAGCCCTGCAAATACTCCGAATATTCGAGTTGCCAAACCTCGAGTCAGTCAGACTGATTGGAAGCTCTGAAAGCTCTGAAAGCTCTGAAAGCTCTGAAAGCTTCAGAATTGGTGGTTCACGAGTTAACCCCAAAGTCTCTGAGGTTGTTTTTCAGCTCCAGGACCCAAACCCTCCCCAGCTGGTCCACCCTGTCCTTCCCAAGGCGCTCAGGGATGGAGGAACAACCCAATTTCCCCCATTATAACACCAGTTCCCCCCAGCAGCAACCAGCAAACCACCCTCAAAGCTGCTGGAAACTCCTCCCTAAAGTTGCATTTTCCTGCTGTGAATTATTCATTTTGTTTTCCCCGTTGGTTCAGAAGCCCCAGAGACCAAAGCACTGCCCGGAGGAGGAAAGGCTGGAAGGCGAATGTTGACAAAGGCCCTGCTAATGCTGCTAAAATCAGTATTAGCCGGAGCATTGTTTCCCAACAGCTCCTCTTGCACCTCTTAATTGTTAAATGTAACCGGGATGGTTGCATTTATAGGGGCTCTATAAACCTGTCTCCTGCCGTTCCACGCGCTGTTATTTGATGCTTGTAAGGAAAAGCCCTCGGGAAATGTCTCCTGGCCCGTGTTGGTGCAGGATCTGCTCCTTCAGGGTGTCCAACACAACCGGAGCTTCCAACACTCGCTGGAATTTACGGGCTGTGTAATGAGATAATGAGTCCGTAATTGTTAATCCCAAATCTGCTGCTGATTCCTCAGGGAAGCCTGAACTGTGGCAGAGAGTGGCAGGGATTCACTCCCTCCTGCACTTTATTTTTACTGATTTATCATTTACTGCATGTTTTGGGCTTACAGAGACTCGACTCTCCCTCCCCTCAGAAGACCTCGAGGTGCTGGATCGTGTCCAGAGACACAACGTTTCTTTTCGAAGAAAATGGGCAATTTAGATTTTGAAAACTTTGGGGGTTAAATGCCTTGGTGGAGGCGTTGAACCCCAGATCCTCCAGCTGGAAGCAGAGCTGGAGAGCAAATAAACCCCTGGGCTCCCGATTTCCACGGGGAATTAAAAATTCTTTGCACAATGACATAACAAGCAAAACCATTCCTGGAGAGGGAAGGCTCGTGGGATTTGTGCTGCATATGTTTAATGAGAGGATCTGAATTTATCCCACTACAACGCTGGTTTCAATTTATTTTTTTTTAGCAGCTTAAGCTCAGATTTTACGCAGGGAAATCTTCTTATGTATTTTTCAATTGATAGAGCAGATTTACGCCATACAAAGACCAGAAGGTCTGTGAATTTAACACTCTGATTGTAGCGCAGCAAAGAAAATAAATTGCCTTCTGTGCCAAAGGAAACAACCACGACCTGCGGAGCCACGAAGTGTCTGCTCGGGAGGACGAGGAGATTAAGTTTTAAAGTGAAACTATTACTCATTATCAAGGACCTAAAAGCGCAACAACATGTAATTAATGTTATTACAGCCGAGCTCTGTATCTACAACACGTTAATCACACGGAGGTGCTTTGATTCCGCGGCAAAAAAATAAATTAAAACAACAACAGGGTAAGTGTTGCCTGGAGCTTCCTCACAACCATCCCACAGAATGAATCCGTGCCTAAAGTACAGGGCTGGGGCTGCAGAGGGTGTGACGGGGCAGAGGGAGGCAGGAGTTGCAGCAGGGGATGGTTCTGCCCATCCCACAGGAGTTCTCCCTCCTCCTGCCCCGGCCGGAGGCAAAGGGCAGGAGCTGCATTTATCGGAGCTGTAATTATCCCAAAATCTTCATTCGCGAAGCCCGGCCACGAATTATCCCGCTCGGGAGGGTCAGAGGTGACATTTGCAGCCACCCCGGGGATGGATCTCCACAGGAATGGAGGGATGGGAGGAAAACACGGGAGAATGGATCTGCCCCAAGAGCTCCGTGACTGTGGTTAACAGGGAACAGGGAATGGGACCTTGAAGCTCATCCCATTCCACCCCCAGGCTGCTCCAAGCCCCGTCCAACCCGGCCTTGGACACTTCCAGGGAATAACCTGTGCCAGGGCCTCCATCCCACCCCAGGGAAGAATTCCTCTCTAATTTCTTCTCCAAACCTGCTCTGGGTGGGTTTTTAACGCGGCCCCCGCTGCTCTGCTCGGGC